GTATGTACATATGTATGTGTGTGTTTTGTAGTACACATTCTACTGTGTGCCATCTTAGAAAGGTCAAATATTTAAATGCAAAGTAGTTTCTTGTTTATAGCAAAAAAAACACACACAGATATTTTACTTTTCACAAGTAATTACACTTACTCACTTTAGCTGCAGTAAGAGTGAAGGTCAGAATGACAATTTTGTGGGCAAATGAATTTAAAGGTCATTAATTCTTCGAAATAGTGTCAAGATGAGCAGGTGTAGTGTTTGTAGTGCAATAAAGCAAAAACAACGAAACGAAAACAAAAACTAAGAAAAAGTTGTAACAAAAAATGAAATAAACTTGAAGCACTGAGAGATATTTTAACCCATTAGCACCTCTACAAAAAAATACGACAAACTTTTACAGTTTGAGGAAATTTTGTAAAAAAAAAAAATGAGGAAAAACTCAAAAAAAAACAAAAAAAAAAAAAATCATACAACAAACGCTCAAGGAATTAAAAATTCTTCAGAAAAAAATGCTCGTATTTTTATTTATTTCTTTAAGAAAATTTTTGGCAAAGGCAAAGTACGTTTCCAAGCGACAGAAAAAACGAAATATATTTCTAGAGATATCTGCAAGGCACATTAAACAGGTAGTATCAGTAGAGCAAAAACAACATTTGCGTGTATTTTGTTGTTGCTTCTGGTATCGAAAGTGTCAAAAACTGTTCTGAATTTTTTCTTCTAAATCAAAGCGTGCCATGAGAAATACAAAAAATTATAAAAAATAACAAATTGAAATTGGAAAAAATAAAAATTGATGCAACTTTCTTCCCTACTAAATTTGTTTGCTTCTCGAAGCATTGATCCATCCTTTACAAGGGCCAGTAATCAGCGGTTGTGCTGCTGAGTTGGGCGAACGTTCCAAAAGCTGCAATTCAATCGCTTGTTTTGTATGGGAAAAGGTTTCACATGCAAATGGATTTTAACAATTCAGAATTTTTGTGAGAAAAAATTAAAAATATTTGACATTTTCGAGACCAAATAATTTGAAAGTAAATCAAATCAGCTGCTCTACTGATACTACCTGTTCAATGTACCTTGGCTCGTATATTTATTTCTTGAAGAAAATTTTCAGCAAAGGCAAACGACAGAAAAAACAAAAATATTTCTAGAGATATCTGTATCTGGAGAGCTGGATAGTTAGCAATAGTAAGAACAAGATTCGAGGGTAAGTTATGTTCCAGAATAATATTGTCCGATCAATTAAAATTATTCACTTTGTGCATTTAAGAGAAATTTCTGTGAAACGGCATTGTTTCATTCAGTTTTATTATTTCATACTTGTTTTGTAGCAAATACATTTACAGTGGCAAGAAATGGATAATACTTGACCTAAAATTGGTGTGAAAAGAATTTTAATGCAAAGAATGCATTGTTCATATGCCTATACAAAGATGTATGCATGTCCTTGTTGTGACATCGTGTTTGCGCATACCTTTCTAACATACATATGTAAGTACACATGTACGAGCATGCCAGTAGGTAAACGTTTCTAAGTAACGAGTTGGTACAAACTTAACTAGCGCTTGAATGCATTTTAAGTACTTATGTATCTCCGCAGTACTTAACCTAAATTCGTAGGCATGGAGGCTATGTAACGAATCTCGCATTAGCATTATGGGATTGTTTGTTGGCTTCTGCTTTAACGTACGTATATATTGCAGTATTTTCTTCTTAAAGTATTAGGATCTATTACACTGTGCGACAGCTCAAATCGGTATTGAGTAAAACCAAATGCATGTGACACTTTTACATATATACATATATATATTGCAGTGGACTTAGAATAAGCTACTACCAAAACAATATCTTCTAACCATTTGTTCCTCGAGAAAATCTGTGCGGTAAGGTAATTTTAAAACCGTAGTTCGGTATCGCGTAGTTTGAAGTTTAGAAACTTTTATTTAAAAGGATTGATGTCTAGTATTTTCGAGTGATTAAGTCTTGTGTTTCTTCATTTGCCTGTATTTAATTTATTATGAAGATCTATAGGAAAAGTCTGAGCACGATTTTGAAAACCGTAGCATAAATGTCACCCTTTGTATCATTCCTAGCTTTTCCCTAACTGTGAATTTTTCTAAAGTCGTCCAGTATACTGCTCTGTACATACTGTACTAAATATATGTACTAAGTCAGTCTCACAAAGAAAAGAGAGGGGGCTCGAGTTCTCTTGCAGCAAATGTTGGTGAACACCAGGGAGTGCGCAACGGCTTTCGGGCCGCGGGTGGACAGGAAGCGGCTTAGGGATTTTCGCAGGCTCACAAAAACACTATCCGATTGGGACTCATGCACTGAGATTAAACATCACACTGAATACGTATTGTCTCAGCTGCATGGAGTACGCCACGGGGTATAATGTACTCAACGCTTCCTCTGCTCACATTTTGTTGGACTGTGGTTTAAAAAACTGATATCGCACTTTCTAACCGGCACAGGGCAGCTAACCGTTCGTTGGTAACTGTATGGGAGAAGGAGCTGTCGGATGATTGCCATTACCGATGACGTGCCAAGTATAGTTAGAGGAAGATTATTTGAAACCTGTTATAGTCTGATACAACCTTACCTAAATTTGGTAAAGCTAAAAGGTCATTGCTCGATTGGAATTCGCGGAATTTTACCTGATAGGGTCTATCGCAGCTGCCAGCAGGATAATGAAGTGTAATCACCTCAGCAATATTTTGAATTTTGTTATCTGAACGCTGCGCTTCGGCGACTAGTAATGTCTCCGTTCAAAACCTAAATAAGATCGCAAAGAATCTCCTTAGTGCACAGGTGCGTCCCCCAAACAACATAAACCATATTTATAAGCACCAAAACCACTATCGGTTTCAATACATTTTTACTTCTCGATATTCTTTGTTGTCTTCATCGCATTCATATTCGTCACTATTTGCGCTCTTACTTGAATTTGCATATAAAACAAAAGCATTAATAAAAATTTGCATTGCTCTAATGATTGGACACTATTCTGCAAATAAATAAATTGCGCACCGTTCTTGCCTGAGGGATATCAGTTATTTTTGGCTATAAGTTTCCAAAGATTCTTAGAAATTTATCTTTTATTTTTGCGGAAAGCTAAAAGGTATTCCAGTTAGTAGACTAAACAGATTATTATGACCGCATTTCTTATATTTGAATCACAGCCAAAAGTAATAAAGGCGTGGTTGTTATCGCAATTGGTATCGTAAGAACATATGCAACGCTATACATAATCACTTCCGCTACTTCCAGAGTTTATTATGGAGAATATTTTCAAAAGCAAGCCAAAAACTTTTCCGTTTTGCTTGATAAATGCATATGTACATATGTATGTATGTATGTGTATTAGGTTGCGTCACTACCCTGCAGGAAATTGAATTAGTTTGAAAGTAATTAACTAAGTGAAATTCTCACTAGTTTACCAGCAACGAACTCATTTATTTAACATGGGGAAGTCCTCGGAAGCAGTCAATTGCCTTTCCTGCATGTATTTTCAACTACTTTAAAATGAATTCACAGATGCTTTTTCATATTTCCAAGACACAAATTGTCTTTTTTTTGAGCAAAAAGAGTATACAAATTCGAAACATTTACTCATTGTATTTGTTTTAAAGTAGTATTTCAATTAGTTAATTAAAAAAAAAAATCATTTGTTTCCGTCAGGGTGACCATACAAAAAAATTAGTGTTGATATAACTTCCACGGCAACCTACTACCATTGAACTTATTTTGGTCCATGAAAGTAAATTCAGACATTACATTCACAGTACTGATTCGTGGAAGATATGAGTTGGTACACAGCAAAACTGCCTAAGTCCGCAGACGATTTTTAACCAGATTTTCAGTGCAATTTACACTGACTGAACAAATAAATAGCTTACGCTAAAGTAATGTGGCTAATTGATGTCAATAAGGCCTTTAATATTAACAATTTATTCAAAGGTGACAAAGTCCTACCGTTAGCGTAAATCAAAATTGTTTCACTCGATTCGAGTCGAACATATCAAACCTGCCTTATTGCACCGTAAGAAATTTTGGGAAATTTTGCTTCAAAACTAATTAAGTCCGTATGGTATTTTTCAAACGCGCTTAGGATCAACATAAAGGCTTGTTTTTTCTTTGCAAAATATTTTCAAGATCTATTTTATAAACATTTTTACAGTTTTGCAAAAGCGGCGTCAAATAGACAACAAGAAAAAAAAAACACAATTTCCCAAAAATTGTCTTACGGTGGACTTAGGCAGGTTTGATATGTATTGACTCAATTACGATACAATTCAACTTATAAATATCCAGCTTTTGATTAGCTGAAAACAAGCTCACTTTTTCGTGACATCGCCATGTAAAATTAGTCAGTTAAAAGTGGCGCGGTATAAGTAATTAATTCTCTACAGGGGCGTTTACAATGCCAGAGTATGTATGGTACATTTCGGAAACGAAGAAATTTGAGTGGTGCAAAAATAAAGATAGGAAAGTGATAGCGCGATATAAGTAGTACATAAGTTTGCTTAATTGCCGCAATTAAAGTGTATATATGAAATACATATATTTACATATATATATGTAGATAGTATGCATGTCTGACTCAATACGAATTATTTTAAAAATTCACGCACACAGACATACATACTCATACATATGTATGTAGAAAAACAAAAGACCTAAGACCGTATTGTAAACATGCAAACACAATATTTGAAATTTATCATTTATTAGATGCTCATTAGTGAATAAATAAAAATGCGTAAAAATTTTTGCATTTAGTTCGAGGCCAAAATTCGCGAATAACGTTAACGACCATGAATTTTGCTATTTGCTGCTACTTTGTAGTTGTGGTAGGACTAGTGAATTTGTTTGAGTAGAAGCCGAATTTATTCGGAAAAGAAAAAGTTTTTTAAAAGTTATTTATTTGACAGATAATTTTGATGATTGCTGTTGTGGTGAGTGGAGTTCCTGCCTATAATTCTCTAAGTTCAACTACACAGGATTTCTGTACGGACAAAGCAGTTCAAGGCTCATTTGCGGATCCCTCCAATACGGATTGCACTGGGTAAGCAAAATTGTAGAGTGGTTTGCAGTGTGTTGGATTTGAATCATATATGTATGTATGTATGTGTTTTCATTTTCAGATATTTCCTTTGCTACAAACTCAACAATGAATGGCAGACAAAGTCGTTGAAATGCCCCGACGGACAGTTTTTTGATACTACTTTGCTGATATGTAATCGTAGTTATGTTTGCCAACTGTCAGATTTAGACTACCGCTAAGAATAAAAAAATAGTAAAACGATTGATTTATAACTGCTTATTATTTGACTATAACAAATTGTACGTACTCATTTAGTATCAGTAAAATATGTTGAAAAATTGTGTAGTCAGAATAAGATATAGTGAAAGCCAGCCGTTGAGGACAAATAAAAGGAAGATCGAAATTTCATATTATCATTTTGAAGTTATTTCTGACGGAGTTCGAATATGGGACCACCTACAGCAGAATATGTAAACAGATATGAAATGTAATAAAATAAATAAAGTCATTAAAACAAAATAAAATAAAATAAAAATTTGGTTTTCCTATTGAAATTTTATGTCCAAAAGTAGTTAGTTACAAGTTAGTTACATCAAATGCAGAGATAGCCACCCTTGACTATTTCGCGGCCATCGCCATAGAAATATAGTAGTTAGCTTTCGTCAAAGAAAATATATTGATAATAGTGACTTCCTAATCAACTTAAAATTAGCTTATAGTTAAGCTTGAAACACATTGGAAACGACGCGCTACAGACCACAGCTGTCAAATTATTTTAACACGTACTCTTATGTAGATAATTATTTTGGCGACGACACGGCAACACTGCGACTAGTCAGAAATGTAGCTGTGGCCAGATTGGATCTATTTCTATTTTTCTAGCTACAGATCAAATTCTTCCTCTTCTTTTATGTCAAACTCAAACAAATTCATGTGCCGCTGGCGCGTTCAAAAAAATGATATCGCCGTCGACAAGGCGTTTTGATTATGTAGATAAAACCTTAATGTCGTGTCGTGTGGTGATGTCGTTTTCGATGTGTTCAGAGCTTTAGATACATTTCATGCAGCGTATGTGGACATTCAACTACTATATTAATATTATTTTTGAACACGAACATTTTCAAAAGATAATTAAATATAAAGTATTAATGAATTGATTACCGCATCTCCCACAATATCTGACTTTTTGACGATTTGTTTTTATTTATATTTTCCATACCAATTTTTTTTAATTATTTTTTTCATGAAAATACAGTTCATTCAACAGAAAAAACCAGCAGAATAAATTTGTTTTTCAATTTCATGTAGAACTCGGGAAGATTCAAGAAATACTAAAAAACTCAGCAAAATTTTGGGTATGCTACAAAAAGCCCATTAAATTTTAGTATAATAAGGTGCAAGTTTCAAGTCTCTAAAAATTACCACTGATTTTTGGGATTTTTTTTTTGTCGAGCGTGTTGCGGATTTTCTTCTATATTAAAATAGATTTTGTTTTAATGCGTTAGAGACGTGAAACTTTCACCTTTTTATAATAGAATTTAATGGTCTACATAACTGCATACCCAAAATTTTGTTAAGAAATGGAATTGAAAAGTTGAAAAATTTGATGACAATTTTTTGGTATTTCTTGAATTATTCCGAGTTCTATATGAAATTGAAAAAATTTATTCTGTATTTTTATAAAAAAAAAATTAAAAAAATTGGCATGGAAAATATAAATAAAGAGACGTCAGTGTATACACTCAGAAGTTTCTCTATACCACATTGCACAACTTGGCTCATAGCATCAAATAAAATCGATTGTAGAATATAGCGTGATTAGTATTGTGAGTCACTGTACACTTTAATTAATTATTTATTAAATGCGAAGACTTTTTATTGCACAATTTTATCTAACTAATCAGCGATGTGATTAATATCTATTCCAGTGTTGGCATACAGGGCTGTTAAATTTTACTGCGTTGATAAAATTTACAATGCCAAAATTTTTACTAAGCACACGGTGTTGTTAGATTTTTCGCATTTGTACACGCCTTTGAAAAAAAAGATAAGCAAAAATTAGCTAATATCGCATTGTCTTTTCGGCATCTTCAAGTTTTTCCAATGAAATTAACAATTTATTTATGTAAATAATGGCCATCATCGATTCGCCAACAGTTAGCGAGTGGCGAAACGAACGAACTCAATGAGGTACAACCAAACTCGCTATCGTCTATCCGTGCTAGCTAATTTTGTTGTTGTTTTCACATGCAAAACGCTTCTTTAAGCGACCGGAACTCAAACATAGCGAGCCAAGAGAAGTGGCGAATCAATGACGGCTAATATTGCTTAGCGGGCCATAAAAATTGAAGAGAATACAACATAACGATAGCGAACATACTATGTAAATATGTACATATTTAAATTTGGATTGGTAAAGTTCGAAAAAATTGGCTTGGCATTCTCAGTTAGCATTTGCAATCGAAGCCAAACAAATGAATCGAAGAATTGTACTCGTAGTTACTTTTATTCTTGTTGTAAGTGAATTTCGTGCTTCCTTCATGAGAACTCAGTATACATACTTATCTATACATATCATCGAGATACATACATACATGCAATTCTCACCTCATATTTTGTTTTTGTTTTTTTGGTTTCCCACTCACACTAGGCATCGGGCTTTGCTTCAGTTCATGGCGTGTGCGATCAATGTCAAACCGAAAATCCTGTGGCCTGTCACAATGAAACCGTCTACTCGCTCTGCATTAACGGTAAAATTTATAGGACATACATATGTATGAGTAAAATTAGTAACACTTTACTTTAAGGTACGGCCACACTGAACTACCGTTCCTGCCCCGAAGATTACGTCTGTACAGCCGATGTGTATGTTTGCTATCCAAGCAATTCATCGGTTCCGAGTTGTGTTCGCACCGAAACCGATGACGTAGAGCAGTCACAATGTGGTGTTTGTGGTTCGGAAGGAAAAGTTTTTGCCTGCCTCAATGAAACGACTGTGGCATTTTGTTTTGGCGATGATAGTCCCCACTATGAATCGCTGTATAATTGTCCCGAAGGCACTGTTTGCGATTTGGATAGCGGCAGCAAATTTTGCTCGAATGAAACCGAAGCAATGGTAAGTGAGGCATTACAAATTTTATAACGAAAAGTATAATATATAGAATATATAAATGTGTAGAATGTACACTAGGCTGGTCCAAAAATGCATGTGAAAATTAAAGTCTCACCCCCAGGGTTGTCCTATACCGAAAAAAAATTTACCCCAATTTTTTATTTTCAAATCGAAACTTACTATAATTTATATGCAAAAACAAGATCATTAAAAAATCGTTAGTATTAAAAAATGGTTAAATAAACAATTGGGTATTAATTTTAAAGTGATTTTTTTACTCTTTCACAGCCCAGTTGTAGGGAATCAACAACAACCACCACACCTCAGGCAACAACAACTACAATGGAGACAACAATACCTGATGCAACTACTCAAGAGCCAACAGAAACCACAACTGAACTGACCACAACAACTACAGCTACTACTACAACAACAACTACGTCACCAACGAGCACGCCCACGACGACTACAGCAGCATCAACAACAACAACAACAACATTAACACCAACGACGACTACGCCTTCCACAACGTCAACTACAACAACGACTACGCCTACCACAACGTCAACAACAACACCTGCACCAACGACAAC